GCAAACTTTTTTTCAAGGATAGCAATAATACTCTTCGGTAGAGACATAGCTCCCAATGTATGTATCGGAATTGAATTCAGTACATGTTTAATGAGTAGCAGTCTGCCCCCAATGGAAAGAAATTTTTTTGTCCATCCTTGCAGTTTAGCATCAATTTTTTGAAGAAGATAAGAACAATACTGAGCTCTATTAATTCCTTTATCAAAGAAGATAAGAACAATACTGAGCTCTATTAATTCCTTTATATATGGGAGCTCCCGAGTACATGAATGGGAGATCTTTACCGGTGATAGAAAGAATGGATTGAATTTTTGCCTTGTAAGCCGAAGTTCTTTTCGAGGAACAGTAGAAGGAGCTTTTGTTGAGGTTAACCAATTGTCCAGAGTCTCTTTGATAAAGTTGCAGGAATTCTTTAAACTGTTTGGCACTTTTAACATCCCCATTAATGAAGATGAGGAGATCATCTGCGAAGGCAAGATGAGTAATTATTTCACTTCCTCTAGTAGTCTTGTAAGGAGCAATTTTCCCATGAGATACCAACTTCTTAAGACCCCTTGAAAAACCTTCTGAAGCCAAAATAAACAAGAGAGGAGAAAGAGGATCCCCCTGTTTAATTCCACGAGTTGGCCGAAATGAGCCATAGCTAATGCCATTGATCGAAATGGAGAAGACAGTAGCTTTAAGATGAGAAAGAATCAAGTTTACTATTTTATTAGAGAACCCAGCTTTCAAGAGAACAGCCTCTAAGTAATACCATGACACTCGGTCAAATGCTTTTGACATATCCAGTTTAATTGCAAGATTATGCCCTCTAGTTTTTTTGTCAAGATCATGGATGAGTTCATTTGCAATCAAGATCTGATCATGGATGGATCTGTTTTTCATGAATCCCGCTTGCTCTGGAGAGATTAGTTGAACAAGAAGAGGAGCAATACGATTAGCTAGGATGCGAGTACATACCTTGTTTATGAATGTAGCAAGACAAATAGGCCGAAACTGTTCAAAAGAGGAGGGATGATCTATCTTGGGAATGAGTATTATCATAGCTTTGCTGAAGTCTTTGGGGATAGGAATACCCAAGAAGAATTCCTTCACTACACTGCACACATTCCACTTCACAATCTCCCAACAAGAACGAAAGAAGAATCCATCAAAGCCATCTGGTCCTGCTGCGCTATTAGGATCTAATTGCCACACAGCTTGTTTAATTTCTAAATCAAGAGGTATAGATTCCAAAGCTTGGTTCTGGTCCCTTGTGATAATCGATGGAATAAGATCAATTAAGGGAAACTCATTTTGTTCTTCCTCAGCAGTAAATAAAGATTTGAAAAAATGAACAGCTTCCTTTCCTATGTCCTTCGAATCTTGTAGCCATGTTCCATCAGCAGCTTGAATGGTAGAGATGTGTTGAAACTTTCTTTTCATTTTGACATAATTGTGGAAGAAAGTAGTGTTTGCATCTCCCTCTTGTAACCATTTAATATTAGCCTTCTGTCTCCAGAATATCTCAGCTTGCTTGTGCCTTTTAAGAAGCAGTGCTTCCTTTAATTGCCAGGAAGAGCGATTTAGAGGAGTGGGATCGACTAAATATTGATTTTCAGCAATTGCAGCTTCTTCTTCCAACCGCATCCTCTCATTAAAGACATTCCCAAACTGACTTCGGTTCCAGGATTGAATGGCACGCTTTAGAGAAACTGACTTCGGTTCCAGGATTGAATGGCACGCTTTAGAGAGTGCAATTTTTTGAAAATACCATGCATACCTCCCCCATAAAAATTTCTGTTCCAATTCTCTTGGACTATGGAAAGGAATCCTTCATGAGTAAACCACATATGTTGGCATCTGAAGGGCTTGGGGATTTTTTGACTGAGTTTGGTGCAGTTTAGTAAAAGAGGAGAGTGATCAGATGAAGCCTTACTCAAATGACGAACATGAATATCGGAGAATAGATCGAAGAAAGAAATTGTTGCCATAATTCGATCTAGTCTCTCCCAAACCCTAGAAGGGAACATCCACTAGACCACAGTCATTAGAGCAAGAAACAAAATCTTGAATGCTGTTGAGACAAGGAGAGGAGTTACCTTTATATTCTGCAGGGTTCTTGATGACATTAAAGTCCCCTCCGACAAGCCAGGGAAGAGAGAGTTGAGAGGAAAGAGATCGCAAAGTATCCCATAAGTTATTCCTATCACTTCTGTTATGAGGACCATAAATAGAAGTAAAAAGAAATCTGAAGCCGAAAGAATGTTCTTCAACTTGGCACGATAGCAAGCTTCGATTACCACTAAATAGAGTTAGTGAAACATTCCAAAAAATTGGCACGACAGCAAGTTTCGATCACCACTAAATAGAGTTAATGAAACATATTGAGCTTTCCAAAAAATCCATATTTTGTTATCATTTGAAGAGAAGACATCACTAAACCCCAATTTGCAAGCATACCAGAAGTTCTTCTTGGCATTAACCATAGGTTCAATGATAGTTAATAAGTGAAAGTTAAATTCTTTACAAAGACCTTGGAGTCTAGAAAGAGAATAAATTAGGCCTCTAGAGTTCCATATCAGGAGATTCATTGTTCAGGATTGGATAAGAAAGTAACAGAACGATTACCCCTTTTAGAGGTTCTCAAGGCTCTGGATGGTTGTCTCTTAAGAATTTTTCTGCGTTCCACACGCACAAAGCCATCATCTAATCCGATTTGAGTGCAAGTGGTATCTTTATTTGGAAGATTTGAATCAGAATTATGCTGGATGTAATCTTCATCAGAGTTTCAATCAATTTCTTGCTCTGATCCACCTCTGTCTTTTAAGGCATCCATTGTAACAGTCTCTTCATTAAAAGGAATAATAGTATCCTGAGGGTGTTCAGAAAAGGCTTGCGATTCAACTGGTAGCTGAGGAGAGGAGTCAGTAATTATATCGACTTGGACAGTAATTGGATTGTGACGAGTCACACAACTCCGTCACTTCCGACAACCACCCCGACCGATTCTCGACCGATTCTAGACTCCAAACACCTCTCCTCTCAATGCCGATCAAGTATCTATTGTTAGCTTCTTATATCGACCAAACACGGTAACGAATCAAAGCTCAAACTTTCTGCAGTAGCATCTTTTTTCTTGAAACAGGGCAAATTCGAAGCATGAGATGCAGAAGTCTCAAGACCAACAGGCTGGTTCAGATAAACCATCTTCTCACGGGATCTCCTACGCAGCTGCAGTTCGAAATATTAAATGGAAAACAGAGATTGATAGATCCTTTATGTCAACCATCACTCATGAACCTAGCTTAACATCAAAACAACCTAATCGATTCAAGGGGGTTCCTTCGATCTCATTCTCGTGGGAGGAATCCATGAAACTGGCTAATCAATTTCAATTTGCTCTAGTTGGTATCTTTCAAGCTGGCCGCCCTAACATGAAAGCCCTTTGACAATTTATGGACAAAATTGGTTTTAAGGGGGAATTCTCTCTAGGTTTATTAGACTCTTCACATATTCTTATCAATTTTGACTTAGAAGAAGATTTCCGAGCAATCTGTATTGGGACGAAAGTTGCGTGTCCATTTAGAGACTCGCATGGAGAAACCTTGGAAGTACCAAATTTGTTTCAACCAGCATCTGTGGAAATCTTCTTCTAAGTCAAAATTGATAAGAATATGTGAAGAGTCTAATAAACCTAGAGAGAATTCCCCTTTAAAACCAATCTTGTCCATAAATTGTCGAAGGGCTTTCATGTTAGGGCGGCCAGTTTGAAAGATACCAACAAGAGCAAATCGAAATTGATTAGCCAGCTTCATGGATTCCTCCCTTGAGAATGAGATCGAAGGAACCCCCTTGAATTGAATCGATTAGGTTGTTTTGATGTTAAGTAAGGTTCATGAGTGATGGTTGACATAAAGGTTCATGAGTGATGGTTGACATAAAGGATCTATCAATCTCTGTTTTCCATTTAATATTTCGAACTGCAGCTGCGTAGGAGATCCCGTGAGAAGATGGTTTATCTGAACCAGCCTGTTGGTCTTGAGACTTCTGCATCTCATGCTTCGAATTTGCCCTGTTTCAAGAAAAAAGATGCTACTGCAGAAAGTTTGAGCTTCGATTCTTTATCGTGTTTGGGCAATATAAGAAACTAACAGCAGATACTTGATCGGCGTTGAGAGGAGAGATGATTGTAGCTTGAATCGGTCGAGAATCGGCCGGGGTGGTTGTCGGAAGTTTATTTTGAGTTTTAAATAAATTTAAAATTTTCTAAAGACAAGAAAATGCTGTTTGAGTTTTGAACTTTGAGATGCCATGATACAATACCGCAATTTTGATTAGTTAAATTAATTTAATTTGGCTAGATCTATTGAATAGTTTAATTACTTGATTAATTAAATTAATTTAATTTATTGTTGATTTATTGATTAATTAAAATCACTTAATTGATTAAAATGAAATACTAGTAATAAATAAATTATTAGGAAATTATGATTTATGGAATTATAGAAAAAATTATAAGATACTGCTGATGTGGAAAAATAAGGAGGATGGAAAAATGTTGTTTGATTAATTGCCACGATGGGACCCGATGGAATTTTGAATATTATGGTGAAATTGTTGAATTTTTAACAGGTAGATAGTCCAATTTAGGGGAGATGCTGTCGAAATTTCGGTAAGACAAATAAAATAGAGTTCGGTAGAAAACAAAAAAAAAAAAAGAAATTAATATCATGATAGTAGATTAACGTAGAAAAATTTAAATAGTTAGTTTAATAAGATGAGAAAAAGCCGATAATATGACATATATATACAGTGAAGTTAATATGAACCGTCTTGACCTATACGAAATACACAAATGAATACGATTTATGATGAGAGTCACTTGTATATGTTAATATAGGATTAGAATCTCTATAATAGCCTACAAATGTCTCTCTCTCGATGACTTTTTATATAAGTCAGCATTCATCTCAAGATACAAAATGCGAGGACAAAAGCTGGACAATGTGCTTAAAAAGGGCAGTCCTTTTTAAAGACAATAAAGAACTGTGAGTAGTGTTAGAAGTAACTAGTATCATCCACCTGCATTCATGCATTCACGGCTAAATGTTATCATGCATTATTTTGTTGAAATTGGCCATATTATGATGCAGCTATTTGTTGATATTAAAAATTGTTTTGATACTGTGTGCTACTGAATAAATATTTGTGCCTTGTTTGTGTGGAATTAAGTGATGACGGTGGGAGCGCACCAAGGGTTTGTGAGGACGGTTGTGATACGGATCTTGAATATGGATATGATATGGAAATTTGACCGTCGGCCGGGAAAAATGGGAGGAATCGGCGCCCCCCCGTGTGCACCTGATGATAATGGATTGTGTTGGAAAACCCACAGGATGGCTTCTGTTGTTGCGCAGCCTGAAATCTAGATTTTGATTGTAGGCCCGCAGGGTGCTCCTGTTGTGAGGCACTTGATGATCTAGATTGGATGGAGACCACCGGGTTGCCTCCTGTTGGTATGGAAAAGAAAAGAGAGAATGGAAAAACAATGAGAGGACTAGTCAGTGAAGGAAATTAGACCAAGTTGCCGTTGGGGATCGGCTCCCTGGTGCCACATGTATGAGAGGAGCGAGCCATGTGTGAGGACGGCTCGTTGGGTTCAGGTGGTGCACTGACTAATTTCCACGTGAATGGATTGATTATATGAAGGTGATAATAATTGTGATTACTGTTGTATTGCCATTTGTGTGACAAACTGCATGATCATAAAATTAATCGGTGACTAGATAAAAATATTTTTAGCATCTGTGTAATTGTGTGGGATGAGAGGGTTATCAAACCCTACTCATTGAGTCTAGTACTCACCCCCCTCCAACCTCCCCAGGTAATAGATGGAAAGAAGAATCCTGGAGTCCAATCGAACGAACGAGATACGGATCAATAGGAGTAATAATCATTGTATCGAATATGTAAATACATAGGATAGTGAATTATGGAGTAGAGTTCCGCAATTGTATTACAACAGGGTTGTAAATGAATAAATAGAGTATAGATATTTATTATTTGGATTGTACTTTGGAAATATTTGTGAAATAAATTATTGGGCATGAATCCACAATTGTGAATAGAATGCGAGTCTTAAGTAATACAGGCTTACTACGAGCTTCGGGGGCCTTGCGTGTAGCTACGGGGCTTGGCGGGCCTTAAGCCCGTAGCCAGGCGGGTCCTAGTGGGCCGGGTGCCGGCCACGGGGAAATGGGTCGTGACCAGTTTGTTATAATGCGCTCTCTCAGACCATTAAGGGCATTTAGAACAGGCTTTTCCGAAAGAAGCCTCTACTAAACAATAGAGTATCTCCATGTGAAATTTAAATAAGTTAGGCTTACTACGGGCTTCGGGGGCCTTAAGCCTACCCAGGTCCTAGTGCCGGTCCGGCCCACGGAAATGGGTCGTGACAGTGTTGGTAATGCTCTCTCAGACAAGGGCATTAGAAAGGGTTTTCCGAAGATGCCCTACAACAATAGAGATCTCCTGAGCCCACTCGAGGGTAGGTTGTAGAAAAACAGAAAGAAGTCAGTAATGAACAATGGTCAGCTTGAAACAGGAAATCAGAAAATATAAGAGAAGAGACTTACAGGCTCGTCAACATGATACTGTGGCCAATCATCAGACAGGATCCTCGGCACCTCGAAGTGAGTCGTCCTCCTTGAGTCAAAGTAGGGCACTCTCCTCTATGACTCTGGCCGTAGGTGGATAGGGAGCCTACTGAAGCGAGAAACACCAAAAATAGGAGCATGACTAGACGATGAAGTCCCAACCATCAGGGAGGTCCCTATTGAAGCCAAAGGATGGTCGGTAGGACCAAATCTAGCTCTTATGCCCTCTGCCACATTAAACATTGTCTCCGATTCTATCTTGAAATCTAACTCCTCCACCGACTCAGCTCTGTTGCTCTGGCCCCAGGAAGTCATCCTAGTCCCCATATCTAAAGTCCTATCTAGACGAGACTCCACCCAAGTAGCCAAAGTAGCAGCAACCCAATCAGTATAGGTGTCCCCGGGAAGCAAAAAGACTCTATAGGATCGCCTCTTGCCCTATCTCCATGGCCCATAATGCTAATACCATCTAGCATGTCAACTGGAGGGTTAGTCAGGATCCGATACAAGCCCATCACCTAGTGATAAACCTGCTCACCTAGGTAGTAGCGCCGAATTGGTCCACACCTCAAAAGGACCAGGCAATGCGTCATTTCCCAGGCCCGGTGCAAGTTTCCCTCCAGGGGAGTATCCAGGAACTGTTAGAACATACGAATCCTCACCTAAAAAAAACAAGCATTCCCAGGTATTAAGAATCAGACCTCGACATAAAGAGATGATTTATGTGTCATTCGAAAATCACCAGAGCTATAATAGCTCATTGAACCTTCTCCTCAGAACCGGGTGACTCTCCCTGGCATGCCGCCCTATCAAAGCCGGCTTGAAATGGTGCATCGCCGAAATCTCCAATGGCACATCCTTGGTCAGGACAGAAGTAATGAATGGAAAAAGGGAGAAAGCCCAAGCCTGCAAAATAGATGGTCAGAAATCTAGAGATAAAAAATCAGTTCAAAACAGACACCAAGAAATAGTTCAGAAACATACTTCCCAAATGGGCGTAGTGCCCTCTAAACCAGTCCAGGCGCGGCGGTTGTACTGGCTCATATCATGGTACATGGATGCCGTAAAGGCACCGCCCCAATTGTACTCTTTGAGCAGCCTCAGATCCACTAAAGACGCTATGAAGTATGTGATCTACCCAGTCGTGCGCGATAGTGCATCCCAAAATCAAAAGGAGAGATGCACGGGTCAGCTATAGCTCTGTTCCCACCCTCTGGTTCAGCTTCCTTAGCTACTTGAGAGAGTGCTACAGTAGTACAACCTACCTGGACCAAGCTTTGGAGTAAAACCAAGTCAATCAAGTGCTTAGGAGTGAGCATGGAAGCATCAACGTCCAGAAGGCAGGAGCCGAAGCGGATCCCAATCAGGATGGCGAACTCAAAAGGAGTGATGGTCCACTCTCCGATGGTTGTATGGAAGGTGTTAGTCGTCTCCCACCATCTCTCTGCCAGTGCCCTCCGCAAAGGGAAAATGGCGTTATCAATCTCCACCGTAGCGAAGAGGTGCAAGCCGGTAGGAGCTATCATCTTTGCAATAGCGGGGTATCTCTACATAACTCTCACTACTACATTAAGATCCCCTCGCCCTCCTCTAGAACGGGGGCTCATCTGCAAGCTACGTACATAATCACACAAGAACATAAATGTTAACTTTTAGAATTTTGAATTCATTTCTTATAAGCATGTCAAACTAACAGACTAACAGGCACCACAGTACAAAAGTGTTATATGTAGCAAAACTAACAAATCATGCAGGATAACAGCAAGTAAGCCGGCTAATCACAGGGTAATCAGCCACGACATAGGGTTTTTAGGCCAACTACAAAAGTTATCAGGCTTAAATCAGGATTTTCAAACCAACCTCAGACTTAAATTAGGGTTTTCAGACCAACTACAAAAGCAATCAGGATTTTCAGACCAACTACAGAGGTTATCAGGCTTAAATCAGGGTTTCCAAACTAACCTCAAACTTAAATTAGGATTTTCAGACCAACTTCATACTTAAATCAAGGTTTTCGGACCAACCTCAAACTTAAATCAGGATTTTCAGACCAACTTCATACTTAAATCAAGGTTTTCGGACCAACCTCAAACTTAAATCAGGATTTTCAGACCAACTTCATACTTAAATAGAACCATAAAAATTGTCGTTAACTCTTTCAGAAATTTTGAATTTTCATTTCTTATTTAAAGCATCTCGTTCAAAATCATACTAACAGAACACTAAAACACTGGCACCACGCACGTACAAACAGTGGGTTTATACTGTAGCCCAAAAACGAACTAACAAATTCATGCAGCCGACCTGCTCCTGTGATAACAGCACAGTAAGCCGGGGCTGCTCTGTGTGTTTGTAGCTAATCACAGTGGTGGCGTTTTCCGTTTTATATCAAGCCCACGACAATAGGCGTTTTTTAGGCCCAATCGCTACCAAAAGGGTTCATCACGGCTTTTTTTTTTATTTTTTAAATCCAGGGATTTCTTCATACCAAAACTCCCTTCAGACTGTAAATTAGAGATTTTGGTTTTTTGTTTCAAGGCGACCAACTACAAACTACGCAATCAGGCAATTTTTCAGACCGAACTACAGAGGTTATATTCAGCTTTAAATCAGGAAGTTTCCAAACTAAACCTCAAACTACAAAATTAGGGATGGTTTTTTCAGGACCAAAACTACTTGTTCAGGACTTTAAATCAAGCAGCTGGATGTCGGGAGGAACCAACCTCAAACTTACCAACTATAGAAGTTATCAAGCTTAAATCAGGATTTCTAAACCAACCTCAGACTTAAATCAGGGTTTTCAAAACAACTACAGAAGTTATCAGACTCAAATCATGGTTTTCGGACCAACTATAGAAGTTATCAAGCTTAAATCAGGATTTCTAAACCAACCTCAGACTTAAATCAGGGTTTTCAAAACAACTACAGAAGTTATCAGACTCAAATCATGGTTTTCGGACCAACTATAGAAGTTATCAAGCTTAAATCAGGATTTCTAAACCAACCTCAGACTTAAATCAGGGTTTTCAAAACAACTACAGAAGTTATCAGACTCAAATCATGGTTTTCGGACCAACTATAGAAGTTATCAAGCTTAAATCAGGATTTCTAAACCAACCTCAGACTTAAATCAGGGTTTTCAAAACAACTACAGAAGTTATCAGACTCAAATCATGGTTTTCGGACCAACTATAGAAGTTATCAAGCTTAAATCAGGATTTCTAAACCAACCTCAGACTTAAATCAGGGTTTTCAAAACAACTACAGAAGTTATCAGACTCAAATCATGGTTTTCGGACCAACTATAGAAGTTATCAAGCTTAAATCAAGGTTTTTAGACCAATTTCAGACTTAAACCAGGGTTTTCATATCAACTACGGGAGTTATAAGACTCAAAATAGGGTTCTCAGACCTATCAGACTCCTTTCAGGACTACTTACAGGGTTACAGGAGGTTAGAGCTTCAACCGAAGTTGAAGATAGGCCACAAGGGAAAAACGGTATTTCTCCAAAAAAACCAAGGACCAAATAGTAAATTATGATCAGACTCCGACCGGAACTACCTACAGAGTCTAAGGAGATTATGTCTTCAAATCATAGACAAAATAAGAATTAAAATCTAAGTAGAGCAGGTTTTGGGGCAAAAGTGCAATTCTCTAAAAATTTAAAGACCTAATTGCATTTTCTAATAAGGTGATTCAAAACACCATCCTAATACCCTAGAATCTATCAGGCATGTAATCAGGGACTAAATCGCAAAAAAAAAGTAAAAATTGAGGGGTTAATCAAATAAATATTGGACCTTGGCCGAGGAACAAGAGGTGGGTCTCCCTATCCTTCAGGATGAAGTTTATGCTGCCTGAAGTTGTGAGAGGTTTGCACCTCAATTAATTAGCCATTTCAGTAAAAGGAAAAGTTTTTAGAAATTTGGGAGGGAAGAGAGAAGGAGGAATCAGCAAATGTGAGCTTCTGATGCTCAGCCCTCCCCTATTTATAGGAAAAAGGGAGGATAAGCCTCGCCCTTGCCTGGAAGATTGGACATTTCAATATACATCTAAATTTAGATTAACACACGGTCATAGTCAAACCATCCATGACAGAATTCCTAATGCAGATGTACTTTCTGATCTGACATATGATCACAGAAAGGGCCCGAAAAACTAGACGGACCAAACAAGCTTCGGAAAAATATTCTCAAAATCAGACGAAATTTACACAGGATGTTTCAGACATCACCATGATCTTCCAGGTATGGTTCTCAAACCAAAATTCTCTTCAGACATACTAAAATTGGAGTTCAAAAGATCGAGCCTTGATCAGCTCCGAACTCTTAGAGGGGGCAAGTTATTGACCATGATTTTAGCACCAGGCTCTAGAAAATTCTGCCACAGTTCCAACAGCATGAAAATCAGCTCGATCGGACATTGTTTAGGCCCCGAACGGAACTTCAAAGCCCGAGAACCCTGAAATCA